TCGATGTTTCAGGATTACCTAATATTCACTCACCCTCAACGAATCGATAAATAAGTATTCACTTCTGCAAAAGCAAGACAACAAAATCATAAACCAAATAGAAGTTGATAACAAATTAATAAGTGACCCACTAGAAATTCCTAACTCCTTAAACATTTTTTGTGTGCACAGTCTGGGGCGATCTCTGATAACATAGATAAGTGTATATCATTGGATAGGGTCAGAGATAAATACCGGGGAAATATATCGCCACTAAAAGAGTTTAAATTGATAGACTATTATCAACTTAAAAAATGTATCTTTGAAATGGCCAATAAAGATAGCCCAGATGAACTAAGTATCTGTTTGTTAAAGAACTGTTTTGAGAATTTAAAGGAGCCACTACTGCACATAATTAATTCATGTATATTAGAATATAAAGTACCAACAAAACTAAAAATCTCAACAATTGTTCCTATTCCAAAAACACGAATGCACAGATGGCAGCAGAATTTAGACCTGTTAACATGCTCAGCTCTGTAACAAAAGTTTTTGAGAAGGTCTTGTATGAGCAACTTGTAGATCATTTAGAGGAAAATAGTATTTTAGCTCAATATCAGTCAGGGTTTAGAGCAAAACATACCTGCGAGGCCGCTATACAATGTGTATTGGACGATTGGAAGCGCTATAATGACAGGAATCAGGCGGTGTGTGCTGTTTTTCTGGATTTGCAAAGGGCTTTCGAGACAGTGGATAGAAGAAGGCTGCTTTTAAAACTGAGAAAGGTAGGCATTGAGGATGGCGCACTGGAATTGCTTCAAAGCAATCTAACTGGGAGAAGGCAGAAAGTCAGGGTTAATCAAGTTGAATCAGAACTGATAGAGACCGAAATAGGTGTTCAACAAGGAAGCGTTTTAGCACCATTGATGTTTCTGGTTTATATTAATGACATTGCTGAAGTTGTTGAGGGAATTGAGATCCATTTATTTGCTGATGATGTAGTATGTTATTTTCCATCTTCAGATGTCGAAAACATGGGAAATGTCATTAATGGAAATCTGGACAGAATACATAGGTGGTGTTGTGCAAACTCATTGAAAATCAATATTCTGAAAACAAAATGTATGATACTGGGACCAGACAGGTATTATAGGGACTTTGTAAGCAAGGGCATTGAAATAAAAATTGACAACAATAAGCTAGAAATTGTGGAAAAATATAAATATCTGGGGGTCTTAATTGATAAAAACCTAAAATTTAAATGTCATGCTGATTATGTTATAAAGACTATTTCTTTCAAGCTCTTGTTCTTGTATAGATGTGCCTTTTCTTTGACTCGGTGGTCAAAGATTTTACTCTTCAATTCATTGGTGTTACCACATTATACTTATTGTTCCACAGTTTTGTACTTGTTCCAGAGAAATGAAATTGAAAGATTGCAAAAGCTACAAAATAAGGCAATGCGGATGATACTATGTTGTCCGAGAAGAACACCTATTCGTGAAATGAAAAACGCATTGGAATGGTTCTCAGTAAAGGAACTTATTTTGTACAACACAATGGTGTTTATTTTTAAAATTAGAGTGGGACTGCTGCCATCATATTTAATGAGTAAAATAAACGACATTTCTCAGAAGCATGAAAGAAATTTGAGATCAAGGGATAATTTTGATATCCCCAGGGTCCGGTCTGTACAAGCAGAAAAATCATTATTTATTAGGGGATTAATTGAATTTAACCAGTTACCGACTGATATCAAAGGCTGTGAACAAATCAATACTTTTAAAAGAAAACTTAGACAATATATTAGAGATAAGACAGATTAAATTACAGTGTATACTTTTGGTTTTATTTATTTGAGTGATTTAGAATATTTTTGTTTTTTGTTTGTATTGCCGGTTTTATATTTAATGATTGTATTTGAAATTGATGTGCAATGTTGATTAATTGTTTATCTGTGTCTTTTTAAAAAATAATAATATGATGTTAAGATAACGTATATGTAACTCCAAGATGTAATTAGTTATAATAGCTAAATAAACGATTACAACAACAACAACTTCTATCACGTGTACAGTCGGAATCATTGCAATTGGCACACACTCTTTAAATTCCCTCGTATTAAGTCAAAATTCTAACCAATAAATCTATTTAGTGCAGCATTTTGCTATTACTGTGTGTCAGATTTGACACATTACGAGGGATATTTATATAGTGTGTGCCAATTGCAATGATTTCCCCTGTACTGTGCTGCACGCGACTTTTTTTTTATCTTTTGTTTATTACTCAAGGTGTTATTTAATTTGACCATTTGAAGTCGCTCTGACAAAAAGCTTCTAAACAACTCCTCTTATTCCATATTTTTCAAGCACATTAAGAAGCTCATTATGAGGTACAGTATCAAACGCTTTGGCAATACAGTTAAACATTTTTTTTTTAATTGAATTTATCAACGACTTCCATTAATAATTATTTTTGCATGGCGTCCTCGGTACCTACTAAGTACACCGATCCAGAAATCCAAATTGGTTTTTCGAAAAGCTAATTATTCTTGTTTTTATACATTTCTCAAAAAGTTTTGCAAAATTACTAATAGGGCTGATAGGTCGGTAATTATTTATGGAGGTCTTAGTTCCTGTTTTGTAAATTGGCATAACTATTGAAATTTTAAATTCAGAGGGTATATATCCTGTTTCTAAGATTAAATTTAATACATGTAATAGGTTTTTGATGATGTCTAAATGTGTGTGCCGAGGTGGGTACTTTATAATATTAGCTCGTATCCCATTGTAGCCCTGTGAACTATTATTTTTTGAGGTTGAAATATAATTGATTAATTCATTTCTTATTTCTTATGGGATTAAAGCAAATAGAATTTGTAACTGAGAGATCTACTTGTTGCTCAAATTGTGGTGGGGGAATGGCTTTTTCCATTTCTACCCAAATATTAATATAATAGTCATTACAAAAATTTTGGCCCTCTTTATTTTTTATAGACACCGCACAAACATTATCGCATCTACCAAAGCAGAAAACACAGAAATTAACAGCATAATTGCAAAGTGGAATGTATGCCTATCCGCATTTTCCCGAAAAAAGTAAACAAGAACCTAACAGAAGAAGAAACGACATGTTTTTTGACTCGAATTTTTCAATTAAAGAATGCCCATTCAGGGAAAACTTAAGAAATTTTAAAAATAAATTTACTGTAGCCAAAATATTTAAAAGCATTGGTGATGCGATTTTTGTGCGGTGTGTATTTAGAAAAGTATTGTGGTTTTTCTTATCTTCGTAAGTAGCATCTTTAATTATCTTGTAAAGCTTTTTCATGTCATTCTTATTATTTTCAATTTTTCTTTTATAATAATAATTCTTTTGTTTATGTATAAGTTTGTTTAAATTGTTTCTGTATTCCTTGTATTCTTTTTTCCAATTGGGGGTTAAAATATTTGATAATTTGTAAAGTAATGTAATGGAATCTTGGGATGGTTTTTTGAGCAAAAAAAAAGGAATGAAGCTCCCACCCAATCTCCGACCGGAAGGGTGGAAACTCTTCGGATCTGTATTTGCGTTCCTATTGGGAGTTCACAACCAAAATTTTAAAGCTTTATAAATGTTTTCTTCACCAAAAGCAAAAATGAGCATGTTACTACCTATACCAAAGAATGTTAGGTTTGGAGTCAAAATTAGTTCTTCTAGTCAGGAGCAGGTAGATTTAATTGCAAACTATTTTGCTTCGGTGTAAGAGCAACAGGCTATTAATTATTAATTTGCCACATCTGCATGTTTCTGTTCAAAACTCTATTAACTTGAAATCAGTGTATTTAGGAACTTCTAAGAGTTTGGTTTGGATAAAAAGAGGCCAGGGAGCCACATGGCATCTGGCCCAAGATTCTAAAAATCTGTACCTTTTCCTCAGCAAGGCCCATGATTGCTCTTTCTTTAATCAGTACTTGGTATATTTCCATATTATTGGAAGGTATTATCTCTTATTTACAAAAACAATAAAGATTTAAAACAATCCCGGTACGCACATTGAGACCAACTACCACATTTTTAGCTTGAATAAGTAAGAAAATCAATGGCCAAAATCACATACCATGCCTGGGTAGAGTCGCCCTTGCGTTATGGAATCGCCATTTGAGGAAATTACAGTCAGTAAATGTGGAATTCGGCCTTTATTTTATAGACATGCTTGTGGAGCAGGTCTCAGAGACTACTGTAGGCCCTTGTTTGGCAGAGAAGATTATTCTAACTCCTTCTTTTCTTCATACAGACCGGACCAACCAACTAGATACATAGGGAGTAATAAGACGAATTAGTTTGTAGCCAGTTTAGGCGAATCGATGCAGTGCTAACGAAGTCAAGTATAGCTGAGCTGCTGGAGATGCATGAACTTAACATGCACGGATACAATGATCCTGCAGTGAAAGTGAAATGAGTATCAGTCGGATTCATAGAAGCCTATGTGTCTAGTAGCCTGGTCCTGTCCTGACCTACTCAATACAGTTTGTCTTGTTTACAAAAAATATAATGATTCTACTTCAGTCGAACAAAATTTTGTGTGTTTCAAGATTGGTTTCAAGTATGCCGAATGCTTTTTGATTGAACAGAAAAATTAAAAATAAGTTGTATTCCTTTCAAGAATTTAGAACACTAGAGCTACTCACTCCGGTGTTAGTTGACCACAATTTGAAACAGATGTGTTGGCTTTTGTGCATTAAAATGCACTCAGGGACAACAAACAGTTTTCGAAACTAAAGGGCGTGTGACGCCCAGGAGCTGTTCCAGTCAGTTCTAGAGCTTCTCCTAGGTGTGAAAGGAATATAACTAATGAGAGTCTAAAAATCCATCCTTGATAAGATGTATGATTGAAATATTGAATAGTTCTTGGAATAATTATCCTAGATTCTAGCTGCTGTAATATTTTGTTTTTGAAGTGTTCAACTTTCTGCTATAGCACCATTAAAGTAATCACGCAATATCAGCATAAACTATGAACTATGAAAAAAATTACTTACCAAGTTTGGTGCCAGCCTCAACTTTCTCAAAGAAACATTCTTCTGCATGGGCATCCACAGTGATGATATATCCATAGGCTTGCGTAAGACAAGCAAGCAAAAGAAACCCACTCAAGAAATAGTCCATTTTAAATTAATTTTGGGACAATTTCTCAGGAAAAACTTTGTTTTGAATTTTCGCCACGTATCTAACCTAAAATTTCTAGCCAAGGAAGGACGGAGTAGGGATGTCCAGGATCGATTCGATTCTCAGTTGAATCGATTTTTTCAAGCGATGCATCGGAGAAATCGAATCGATTAAGCAATAGAGAATCGATTGTGAATCGATTCATCACACCCAATTTTTTTTTGCTGCATCAGGCGCTTTCTGTGAAAAAGTCTAAAGCCTAGTACTCATAACTGCGAAATTCGCATTTTTTTGACATTGCTTCGACAATTTGACGTTTGATACACGCATAAAACGTCAAATTGTCAACGCAATGTCAAAAAAATGCGAATTTCGCAGTTATGAGTACTAGGCTTAAATTTGGGTTTTTTCGTTTAGTGGTGCATATATAGCTTTTTCTTTTATGTGAATGTAAAGAAAAGAAGGAAAATTAATTGATGAAGATTAACTTCTGGGGAGCAAAATGGTGACAGTGTTGACATTATTTTTGACAATTGACCCAAACTGACGTTAAAATGACAATAATCTCGTTTTCTTCATTGAATAAAATCACTCCAATCCAATGTTCAACTTGATCTTTCTTGAATCGAATAAATCGATTAATTTTACCCAATAATTGCATCGAATCAATTCGTCATTCTCGAATCGAATCGATTCGCGTGAATCGATTAATTGGAATATTTTGGACATCTCTAGGACGGAGTGGAGCAAGGATACACACTACTACTACAGGATAGCCTATCCTCATAAGACCTGTCTACTTCAAATCTCCAGGCCCCCCTCCATGCCAAAGCACCAGTGATGACGTAGCAGAATATCCCATGTCGTTTTTCACTTTGACGTAGGGTGTTTGCAGCGTTATGATTCTGCGAGCTTTTGCATTCGGTATTTTGATCTGAGTTCTCCGAGCTTGAATTTACCCTTCATTTTATTTGTGTACTTAGTGCAGGCTCATTCGCGTTCGTTTATCAAAAGTGCTGTGACGTCAACTGCATTCCTGACTTTCAAGATGGCCGCCGATACAGATGATAGTTGAATTTGTGCTGACAATTATTTTGTCGTAAATAGGCTCGGTCAGTGAGGTTTCATTAACCACGTTTTTTGATATTTTTATGGAGTATTACTCACATATAGCACACAAAAAAAAATTCAGCGCAATTGGATAAATATTAAAAAAGTTATGCGGCTTTGAATAATAAAATATTATGCCTCAGAAATTCATTGCTTAGAGATGGTATGACGTCATCTCTCGAGTCAAGACGGGCTAAAGGCTGTCACACGACCAACGTGAGAGATGCAGTGACGTCACCACGTGTTTCAGAACTTCCAAATTTGGAGCTTTTTGATAATTTATTTAAATATGAACAAGGGCACGGAAAATTATGAAATTTTGCACAACTGCTAAACTCAATACGCTCTTTTAGAATATGTAATAAAAAAAATATGCTGTACGAGCCTATTCGAAATTAGTTATAAGTGTAATTTAAAGTTTCATTTAATTGTCTGTGTAAGCATAAAAAACGCACGGCTAAAAATAGTCGCGGAAACCCCAAACATTTTCTGGTTTTATGGTTTTGTAATACCGAATTTGTTGCATCAGGACATAACTTTCTTTTATTTATTTATTTATTGGTTCTTCTTACAAACACCATACAAAACAGTAATTACATGTAAGAGCAATATACATACATAAATAAGGACAATACACAAAAGAGGGCTAGCTAGCTAGCTTAACAGGCAATATATATCATCTATGAAAGATATTAGATTGCAATTGGAAAAATCTAAATCACAGTTATTTTGCAATTAAGTATTACATGTGTGTATTGCTCAGTTTTCTACTGGTATTTCCTAGTCAAGTATTTGTATTGTTTTTTTCTTTTGTGAATCAATAAATAACTACTAGTTGTAAGCTTTTCTTGGCATGTAATTACTAGAAATTAGTGTTTGTGAAGAGTAAATGAATAAATAAATATGTAAATAAATTCTTTTACTGGCGCGTTTACCTATGTATACGCATGGAAAATAGGGGAAACTTCGAAACTTGCAGTGTTTTTCTGGATGATGATTATGGAAATCTAAATTAGGTATCACTATTTGGCTTTGTGAGATAAGCTTACTTTGAATGTCCATATTAAATCGTTCTGGTACCTATTAAACTATTGAATAATAATTGAGAAGTAGGTAGAGACATTAAAAAAATAAAACACACTATTGCAACCACCTTTCGCTTATATTTTGATACTAAATTGCAAAAATTGTATCTGCATTAAGTTTGTCCATTCTTTTACAAAAAACTATCCACTCGTTTTGAATAGTGTTAGATACAAAATCTTTTCCTTTAGGAAAGCGATGAAATTTACATTTTTTATCAAAATAGTTGTTATCACACCCATACATAGCACATATCATTCCAGGCATAAGGAAAATGCACTGTCATAATAAAAACAAACCGATCAAGGACTGCGTGACGTCACTCGCATTACTCCGTGTTCGATATTTTTATGAACGTATGTCTTATGGGATTGAGCAATCAGAGTTTACGATTCTTGGTTCCGCACTAGATCTACCAATCGGAAATGCCATAATATAATAATGTTTCTGACATCTTGACAGGTGTTAGTGACGTTTTTTTGTTACCAGGCGCGTGTCAAACGGCCCCGCAGACCCCGCCACGCGGGGGGGCACCCGGTATATTGGGGGTAGAGTTGCCAGATTGGGATATCGAAAAATCGGATATACCAATCAAAAGCCTGGTAAAAAATCGGCACTTTTTTTTTTGAAGGAATACCTACTTTAAAGGAAATAAAATGTAAATTAACTATGAAACCTCTAATAAAATTTAAAAATAAAAAATAACGCTTGTTCCATTTAGTCCCCGGGAAATAAAGTAAAAATTTATTCCCTTGGGAAATAAAATGAAATTTAATCCCGGGGATTGAAAGACCCACTTTACCCCCTTAAAACAGGGATTAAAGGGTACTTTTAATCCCTTAAGTACCTAAAATGCATTAGTTTATTCTTATCTTCAAAACCAAAAGAATCTTGAAATAATTATGAATAATAATATACTTAGATAATTAACAAGTACCTACGTAAAATTCAAAAATAAGTGTCTTATACAGGGCGTCTCACGAGGTTTTTCCCAAATGATAACTTCGGAACTCATCATCGTATGTTCCACTGTATAATTATTTAACATTTTCTTCAACAAAGCCTTAACAAATATGGCATTGCCGATTTTGTTATTTAATTTTCTAACGAAAAATGCCATAATATACCATGAGTTACATTTAAGATTCGAAAGTTGACGTCACTTGACAGAAATTGAAGTGAAAGAGTGGTGAAATTGGATGAGAATAGTAGAAGCGGCACAAAAAGTTACCCAGATCCTCAAAATTTCAATTATATTGCATGACGCGTTCCGAAGTTATTACCTGGGAAAAGCGTCGTGGGACACCCTGTATAAGTAGGTATTTTTAATTTTTCCCAACTTTTTAAAAAATTCCGTTAAATCGGGACATTTTAGCGTCCCGACGTATAGTCCATCGGGACACGGGACAAAATCTCCAATATCGGGACTGTCCCGTTAAAATCGGGACGTCTGGCAACCCTAATTGGGGGCCCCCGGGCACCCAATATACTCTAAGAAAAAGTAATACCTATGTATATCAAACAAACTCCAAAAATCCAAATATGCACATTTAAACATTTCAAATCCATATTTAATTTGTTACCATTTCTTTCGAACATAAAAAATGTGAACTCCCAAACAATTGTCAACCCTGGCTGGTCGAAACCTCAATGCAGTGTTCCCAACTGCAGGGAATTTTCCCTTTTTAGGGAATTTTGGCACCCAAAAGAGAAAAGGGATTTTTTTTATAAAATCGTCGAAATGAGGGAATTTTTGAGAAATAGAAGTTTGGCATCGATGAAGATGTAATCCGTTTAATCATCTAAACGACTCAATTTTTTGTTTTATTACATACACAATAGAAAGAAGATATTTTTGGATTTGATATAGTTAAAGTCATTTGGCATTTACTTAGATGTACTCGTAAGGCTTTTTCGGAAACACTGATCCGACAATCCGACTAACCCGATCACCAACTGTTTGTTTTTTATCTTTCTTTAATGAACACGATTGTGCAGGAAATTTTAACTCTAAGGGCCGGTTTATCAATAGAGGGTTACCCCATGAGTTAAGGACAGTGTTGCCAGGTCATATTTCGTTTTTTCAGTAGACTACCAGTCTAAATATCAGTAGAAATCAGTAGACAGATAAGTTATGCCTAGTTAAAGGCGTTAACCTTAGGGTATACTTAATTAATTGTTTTAGTTTTTTTTTTTAAATCATTAAATCTTTAGACTATGCATTAGACTATGGGAAATAGTTTATCAAGAGACGTGGAATATTCCTATTTAATTTGCACTACCAAAAAATTCACTTCCTATGTAGTATGTAGTTAGTAGTCTAGTATCTGATAAAAACAGGTGAAACAGGCTGCAGTTATTTGTACCTACAGCATAACGCTATGTGACCAATTGACTAACTAACAACAACGCATGCCTTTAGGCAACTGGCAAGACAAAAGGCAAGTAAACAAGACACAACACAAGCACTCACGAACCCCGGGGACTATCCAGGGCCGTGCTAAGCACGCGCGGGCCCCAGTACAGCTATTCCAACGGGCCCCAAACTTTTTTGAGTGTCACGAATGCCCAAATTTTTACCCGAAAGTCGTTAAAAAAACATGCTTCCGGTATAATTTTTTTAGGTATTTTTGAAGTGAAACCTCTTTGCTTCACAAAAATTCCGATCACGTGAGGGCCGTAAGGGGGGTATGAACTGCGCATCAACAGCGACCGGAGTACGCTTGTCGCTTGATTGAGAAAGATACATTACGTGCCGGTACTTTTGTTCTCAGTTTTCGAATTTGACAGACGTTAAAAATAATCAGGGGTTTGAATGTGCTCTTACCACATCATACAGATTACAGACCATGTCCCATGCAACCTTATTAAATTCAATGACATGTCAAAATCGTTATCAAGATCAAAAGTATCAACCCGACATGATTCAAAATTCTAATTAAATTTAATTTCCGGTAAAATTTGAAGTTGGTGTTAAATGATGGTTTATGAATGTAAAGGTTTACGGTTTTGCTCATGTCTAGGTTTTACAGCCTGTCAAACTTCCAAAGTTGCAAAAATAGTATATTATTCAACGAGCGGGTAATAATGGCTATTACTCACGAAGGATGAAATTAGCACTACGAGCCGCAGGCGAGTAGTGTAATCATCCGAGTGAGTAATAGCCATTACCTACGAGTTGAATACTATACTTTTTCTATGATTAATAGAAAATAGGCACGAGCTATGCGATTTCTTATTTATTTTCGTAACAAAATTGATTGACAATTCTAACAGCTGGAGAACAAAGTGAGGTTAGGTTAGCACAGGTCTTGT